ATTCCTGCTTGCAGAAGTGCTGTGGAGTGTCACCAGGGGGTGTGACAGCTGCCATAGGTGGGCAGCCCTTCTACAAGAAGCAGAGGGAGATGGTCTTGCACAGTGTGAATGCCAGTGAGGGCTCTGGCTAAAATGAAACAGAAAAAGAGGCTGTTTGTCAGTGACTGTTTCTCAGCACGTCCAGCCCATTCTCCTTCCTCTCCTCCTCAGCATGTCTCCAAGGCCCAGGTAGTCCAGGGTTTAGAGAGCACCAGGTCACTGGGTGTGAGCTCCTGATGTGCATCATCATCAGGTGACACCTGCCCCGTAGCCTCCATCCCTAGAGCTGGGGTGCTGCGGGAGACACCAGCCTTGGTTCCCAGTGCTGGTACTGGGAAGCCTTCCACTGCTAAAAGTGCAGCCCCGTGTGACCCAGAGAGCTCCGAGGGGCCTCCCCCCTCAGACCAGTATCCATGGGGCCAGGGTGGGGGGCTTTGGTCAGTACTTCTCCATGACTCCCACGATTCGGGTTGGGTCGCTGTTGGCCTGTGTTCTGAGCGGGGGTCTCAGGTACGTTCTGCAAGCAGAGTTCCAGGAGCCTGGGAGTGCCTGGGGGCCCCGAATCCCTGCACTAAGGCAGACAGGTTCCCAGTGTCCAGGCTCCCCACTCCAGTGGGCAGGGTCAGAAGGTGCCAGGTTGTGCCAGTTGCTGGTTTGCTGCCCAAACAAGAGCAGTGCTGGGCCCACTGCTCTGGAGCCAAAGCAAGACCAATGTTGGCTGATGTTGATGTTGCAGGGTTCTCAGTGAGCAGGGGGGTCTGCACCACCCCAACCTCAGACCTGCCTGGTGCCTGTGGACCTGCCTCAGACCTCTAGGTTGTAGTCCTGGCTTGTCCTGAGACCTGCCCCATCACTGTGCTCCTGCCTTAATCAGCTGGACTCCTGGTTGGGCCAGGCCACCATCCCTGGGTCTGCCCTGCTGGCCTTGCTTGAGCCATGGCCACCACAGCCCCTGCCATGGCCACTTTGGGGTCTCCTGGGCTCCTGCCCCCTCCCCTGCCCTTGCAGCCCCAACACGCAGATGGCACCAGCTTTGCAGAACAATAGGGAGAGCAACTGGCACATGAAGAGGGACGTCCATGAGGTGGACCTTGGGTGTGGGAGCACTCTGGGCAGCCCCAGCTGAGGGTCTGAGTTCACTGGTACCAAAGGTTTTAAAACAGGTTTTGAAGGGAGAGAAGGAAGAAGATGAGAAAAGAGGTAGGACAGAACAGTATTTATCTGGGAATGCTTTTGTGCTGAAGGAGATTCACTCCCTGTGTTGGCTGAGGAAATTCTGTTGTTCCAGCTTGCTTGGATATCAGGACAGTGCCATGGGGAAATTATGAGCGAAGTTGGAGAAATGTGGAGGGACACTGGAATGTGTCATCTGTCACCAGCTGATCAATGTTTTCACCTGTTAAATGCTTTCACTAATAGCTGTGGCTAAAGGAAAACTGAAAAGTGCTGCTAATGTTCCCTTGTGATGTCTTGCAAGGTGAGAAGGTTTTACTTTCAGAGCTGGATGAGTTGGTGTGACAGAAGTAGGAGGAGATGGTCTCCATGGTGGGATCTCTTCTTGGACAGGACTGGAATAACAGTTTGTGGGGCTGGGACTCTGCACTTGCTCAGCTTGCAGGCACAAATCTCAGTACTGGAATTCAAATCTCAGCAATGTAATTAGGGAGGATTTGCAATATATAAAATTCAATAGGAGCATTAATTTTTGCAAGACCTCGTTGGTCAATTGTTGGGCAACTTTCTGCTGGAGATGGTGCTGGCATGGCTGTGCCTCTGCTGTGAACACAACTTGATCCTGCTTGGGTTGATTATGGAGGAGTCCTGACTGGGGTGCAGGGAGAAGGACCCACAGCTGTGGGTAAAATGGCAGAGGAATGTTAGGTAAGTGCAGTTCAGAAGGAAGAGTTGGTTGGGGCAGGTTGCAGGTGTGGTAGGATGTGCATTTACTCCCTGTGCCCTGAGCAGTGTCTGCATCCAGGCTGGGCTCACCGTGCTGTCACTGCAGTGGCAGAGCAGCCCTCACCGCCAGCCCTTGCTGCTCCCTCGGGAGGTGACACCCAGAAGCTGAGGGACAAGGCTGGGTGTGTGGAGCAGAACGTGCCAGGTGCTTCGATGCATTAGGTGTGAGCAGCCTGGTGGCACAGGAGCTCCCCGTGGGCTGGGAGGAGCTG